GATGCAAGTGAACTACAGCTAACTGGAAGAATTATTATTATTATTTTTTAAATTTTTTTCTTTTTCTCCCCAAATCCCCCCAGTACATAGTAGTATATTTTAATTGTGGGTCCTTCTAGTTGTGGCATGTGGGATGCCGCCTCAGCGTGGCCTGACGAGCGGTGCCATGTCTATGACCAGGATCCAAACCAGCGAAACCCTGGGCTGCCAAAGTGGAGCACGAGAACTTAACTACTCAGCCACAGGGCTGGCCCCCTGGAAGAATTAATATTTATATTTTTCCTAAATATCTCCTGGAACGGATATTTTTCTACCTGTTCCATCATTATCCTGCTCAGTGTTCCTTTCTAAGTTCTATTTCTCTTCCTTCACTCATGCTTTTCTCTTTATCCAGAGTGTTCTTCTTCTGTTCCTGATTTCGAAGCCAATTCAAATGTTATGCCTTTAAGAAACCTCCCTAGAATTCTCCATCCCCCAGACAATATCAGTCTTTCTTTCTTCTGTTTTCCCAGCTTCCTTTATTTGTGTAACATGTATAGCTGATGAGTATGAATCCCTTCCTGTTCTTAATTTTGAGCCCTTTGAGGGCAGAGCATGTGTTTTATTCTTCATTGAATCCCTGGTGCAGTGGTTTACTTTCATAGATTTTTCCATGCCTCTGCAATGGATCTTCCTACCTATGGTCATTGTTAATCGCTTGATAAATGTTTATGGGATTAAATCATTAAAACTTACTTTATTAAATACCTAATCTATGTGATATTATAAGTGAACCAAAAAAATTTTTTAAAATTGTGCTAACACTTATTCTCAGTATAACTCCATGAATAAGACAAACCCTCCAAATCCATCCCTACTTATATGGTTTACTAATTAATGTGTTCAGCAAATATTTATTGAGTACCTGCTATGAGCAAGGCCCTGTGCTAAGCCTTGCAAACTATATACAAATTGTAGATGTTCCTCAAGGCCCTGCTTAAACTCCTCCTCTGCACGTCCTTTCCACTCAGATCAAAAGGCTAAAGTGTCCTTTTTTAACATGAGATCTCAGAGAGGAAATTGAAGGGCATGGTGTGTTAATTCAGAGATGAATTAGGTGTTATAACTCCTCACCCATTCCTCCCAGCACTCATTCTAGAACTGTATGCTTTTAAATGGCTCTTATGATTTTCATGGATGGTTAGACTCTGGGGGTGGGAAACACAGGAGGATAAAGCTTATGTACTTGGTAGGTTAAAATGGTTCTTTCAAGATGAGACGCATGTGGCATTTAGCTCAGTGCCTTGCTCATGGGTGGCGTTCTATGGGTGTTAGCTGTTTTGCACATACTGTTGTCACAGCAGTGGTTCCCCTGCCTTTATCAATGTGTCATTGTCACTAATTTTTGAGCTCTTAGGAAGGGTCTGAATCCCATTATCTCATAAGAGGTATTCATTTGAATTATTTGTTGCTGGTTTGAAGGTTGCTTTACAATTTTGTAAGCAGGGTGGAGGAGACAAGCATACAGATTTTATATAACAAACATTTAATCAGTGCTACTACATTTTTGGTGCTATTCTAAGCACTTTATAAATATAAATTTAATCCTCATAACTATATGAAATAATTACTTTTATTATCCCGTTTTACAGAGGAGGAAACTGAGACACAGAGAAATCGAGGAACTTGCCCAAGGGCACACAACCAGTTAGTAGCAAAGCCAGGATTGAAATACAAGCAGTCTGGCTTGAGTCCTTGCTGTTAATCATAATTCAACACTGAATGTGGATGATGCCATATAAGGAACACAAATAAGGTGCTATGGCAGTTCAACAAAGGCAATGGTCACATTGCTGTCTGACTGAAGTTGAAGAAGGCTACATGCAGGAATTGGTATTCTTACTAAGCCTTGATTTGGGGGGCAACTTTTTCAGGTGCTTGGGTATGGGAGAAGAAAAGGGAGGCTAAATATCTGCATATAATAAACCTCAGATGTGGGAAATGGTAGTGCGTTAGGAAGTAGTCCTGCATATAAGGATATGGAAGGAAGGGAAGGAAGGCAGGAAAGCTGGTTTGGGGCTGGAACATAGGAAGCTTGCAGTTTTGAGTAGAGGACAAGGTGAAGAAGATGTGATGTGGTCAGAGCTGTGCTTTGGTAAATATGGGGACAGCATGTGGAATGAATCAGAACTGATAGAGACTGATTGTAGAAAAGCCAGTTGTAAGGTTGTTGTGTCCAGAGAGGTAATTAGGTCCTGAGCTATGGTGAAGATAGGGATAGATAGAAGAGATATTACAGAATTTGTATTGATAGAGCAGAGAAATAACACAACTAAAATGGAAAGTAAGTTATTTATGTCATCATATGACAAGTGTAAGTTTATTTTATGGTCAGTAAGGTCCTTTGAATATCTGGGAAACTGTTCTCTTGGTGTAAATAACATGATTTTAAGAGAAAAAAAATCAGTTCATTCATTTCTAAAGAAATATGAAGTTGGTTTATATCACTTGGCTTGAAATTGACATCCAAGAAAACGATTACTTAAAAGGCTAGCTAATTGATTCAGAATATCTGAATTGAAAATATTTCTTAATCTGCTTAATGTAGACAAAATTAGAAACGACTTTAGCCTAATGATTTGGAAGAAATGATGGATATAACATCTTTAAAATTGCTATATGTGATCATGTCAGTTTCTTTCTTGTGATACAAATGTAAATTGCAAATGAGAACCTAAATTAGTTTATCAGTTGACTTTACTAAGTAGGAATCTTCCAGCTGACTTACTCTGTTTGCAAAGGACTTATGTAAAAGTAATCTTCAGAAAACCCTGATAGAAGTGGTTTGGATTAGTGAGGTTGATAAATGTCAGTGTGAGAAGAACTTTCAGTTATTGTTTGGATGTCTGTGGTGATATAATAATATATTAAAATATTAACTTTGCAAGAGTTAGAGTAAAGACAATAGATGATGCTACCTTAGAATGTATTGATATGATACCTAGGAACAAATTTGACCAAGGAGGTAAAAGACTTGTACCCTAAAAACTACAAAACATTGCTAAAAGAGATTGAAGAAGACCTAAATAAATGGGAAGATGTCTCATGTTCATGGATTAGAAGATTTAATATTATTAAGATGGCAGTACTACTTAAGAGTGATCTATAGATCCAGTGCAAGCACTATCTAAATTCTAATGGGCTTTTTTTGCAGGAAAGGAAAAGCCAATACTCATTTGGAATTGCAAGGGGCCCTGGAGCCAAAATAATCTTGTAAAAGAACAAAATTGGAGGATTCACACTTCCCAATTTCAGAACTTACTGCATAGCTACAGTAATCAAAACAGTGTGGTTCTGCCATGGAATAGAATTAAGAATACAGAAATAAATCCATATGTTTATGGCCAGTTCATTTTGACAAGAGTGCAAAGACCATTCAACAGTGAAAGAATAGTTTTCAACAAATGGTGTTGGAACACCTGGATTGCCATGTACAAAGAATGAAGTTGTACCCCTATTTCACACTATATACAAAACTTAACTCAGAATGGATCAATGACCTGTACATAAGAGCTAAAACCACAAAGGTCTTGGAATAAAACATGAGGGTAAATTTTCAGGACCTTGGATTTGGCAATGGATTGTTAGATATGGAACTAAAAGCACAAACAACAAAAGAAAAAATAGATAAATTGAACTTAATAAAAATTAAAAACTTGCACATCCAAAGACATTAATAAGAAAGTGAAAAGACAACCTACACAATGGGAGAAAATATTTGCAAATCATATATCTGATACAGGTCTGATATCTAGAATATATGAAGAACTCTTATAACTTAATGACAAAAGACAGACAAGCTAATGAAAAAATGGGCAAAGGACTTGAACAGACATTTCTCCAAAGAAGATACACAAATGACCAACAAGCACATAAAAACAGGTGCTTCACATCATTAGTCATTAGGGAAATGCAAATGAAAACTGCAGCGATAGGTTCACACCTGCTCGGATAGCTGTAAAAAACCAGTGACAGCATAAAATAGCAGAGTAAGGGGTTTTACTTTGGAGTGATGGAATGTTTTGGAACTACATAAAGGTGCTGGTTGCACAACATTGTGAATGTACTGAATGTCACTGAATAGTTCACTTTAAAATAGTTGATACAGAAATAGAAAATGTATCAGAAGACTCATCTGGTGTTTTTCACACTGTGCTACTGCAGTTTATAATATAGGAGGAAGAGGGAAGTAAAACAAAGTAAAATAAAAGTTTTGGAATCAATTTTCAAAAAATCAAAGCCATTTTCAAGGAGCGGATCAGAAAGTTGGACAAATGGGATGGCATGAAGGAAAAAATGGGAAATAAAAACAAATTATTATTAGCTTATTTCAACCAGAAGTCAAAGTTTAGCATTGAGATAATATAAGTTCAGATTTGTTTACTAGAAGCAAACTGGTGGCCTGTGAGTTTTTTCAGGTAAGGTTCAGAATTATCTTAAATCTTTTGGTAAGAACAAAGCAAAATATTGGTAAGTAATTTTATTGAAGATCTCAAACATAAGTTAGTAAAACTGAGAAAGAATGGAGTTCATATATTTCTAGAGGAAAACCCTCACTTCTTCGTATGGATGTGGAAAAAGAAGGGACATTCTTTTGACTTAGAATTTCAGTGTATGTATCTTTAGAGAATCCAGTGGATGGGAAAAACTACTGTAATTAGCTAAACTGATTTTTGTTACTTGAGTTTAGTGCAGCAATAAAAAGACAAAAAATGAATGCAAAATTGTTATGTGCTTAGGTTGTAATACAAATCACCTATAAACTACAGAGGGAATTTTTGTATCTGTTGATTTTTTACTAATGGTGATTGATTTTTCACTATTTGGTAGCCAGTTTGACACTTTAATAAAAATAATATTCTGTTTTGGTTTTGAGAAGGTGAGAGAGTTGTGCCATGTCAGACCAAAAAAATGCCCGTTCTTGGCAGAATAAGCAAGTTACCCCTAATCTTTGATTGCAGATGATGAAAGCCATGAACAAGTCCAATGAGCATGTCCTGGCAGGAGGTGCCTGCTTCAATGACAAGGCAGACTCTCATCTCGTGTGTGTACAGAACGATGATGGGAACTATCAGACCCAGGCTATCAGTATTCACAGTCAGCCCAGGAAGGGTGAGTATTTGAGCCGATTGACATTAGGAGAATAGGAGATTGTACTGGACTTGCAGAATTGGATCTCTCAGCCCCATAGCACTCACCTTCTAGATAGGCGACCACAAACAATTTGATTAAATTAAGCTTTCCAAGCTTATTCTCCAGGATTAGGTTGACTCCCCAAGTAGCCAGACTCACAGTTGCAGGTGGGACCTCTGTTTTTGAGGGGAACATTTTGAAAATACCGCCTCAGGATATTGACAGGGCATTGGCATTGGAATTGGAAGGTAGGAGACCAGGCCCCATGGTGAGAATACGCTTAGGCAGCTTTGGAGCTCGTTGAATGACCATGCCCACAGAACGTAAATTAGTAGGTTGACAGGATTCCGAAGGAAGGCTTCTAGGTTCAGTGGTCCTCAGAATGTGGTCTCATCACTTAGGAGATTTTTAGAAATGAAGAATCTACACCCCAGATGTGCTAAAGCAGAATCCTCATTTTAACAAGTTGTGTGATTCCAATGCTCATTAGAATTTAAGAAGCGCTGCTCACTGTGGCATTTCCTAAAGTGTCTTATCAGGTTCTACGGTTTTAAAAAATATTTACGTAAATAAGTCAGTCTTGCTTAATACATTAAACTGAGAAATCCTGAGTTAAACAGGTTTAAACAAATTTCTTTACTACAGGACTTTTCAGAGCCTTTAACAAACTATGTGTATTGTGATTTTCCAAAAGGAGGATAGTGCCTAGCCCTTCCTAAATTTACTTGACCATGAATCTTTTTTTCCCCTCAGAATACCTCCCAAAACCAGCTTTCTTTCATACGCTTTATCAAACACTTCTCTAGTAGACATACTCTAGGTCACCGTCTGCAGTGTATTTTTTAAATCAGTTGTTTAGTAAAGGCATAAAAGATACTTAGCACATGTATATTCAAATACAATATCCAAAATAAGGTAGCTGATAAGTCCACAATGCTCCCTATTAAAGTCATATCTAAAATATTTGAATAAGTTCTAGGTGTCATTAATGCAATTGATCATATATGTTGTTAAAACTAGAGGGTCTTCATAGGATGTTTCAAGGCCTGTGAGAAATCTGGACTAGGTCAAAGGAAGATCTCTTGAATAAAATATAATTGTTTAATTTGGAAAAGTATAGATTGGAAGAGGGTGAAAAATAGCTGTCTCTATTCCTAAAATTTTCTGTTATGTGGAAATACAATTCAACTTATTCTGAATAGCTGCAAAAAGCCAAAACCAGTACCAATGGGTGAAAGTTATAGCTATCTAGATTTGGGCTCAATTCGAGAGAACATTCTGTAACACAGTTATCCAGAAGTAGAATGGGCTGCCTTGTGCTATTGTGGGGTCCCTGTCAGCAGGAGTCTCTGACAAAGGCTGAATGATCTACCTGTTAGAGTTATTGTAGGACCACTGGGTAGGAAGTTGGAATAGCTCAGTTCCATTTAAGATATGGAGAAAAAACATAGTGTAGTGAAGTTTCCATAAAGCTGAATATAATTAAATATCCTTTCTTTTATGAGGAGATACTGGTAACAGGTGTTTGTCTTTTAAATACGTGTTTGTTTTTTTAATAGCTCCACTTGTTAAATAAAATAGTTGGCAACCATATCTCCATATTCAAAATACATTTGATCTAAAAAAAAAACCCTGGAAATCAATGAATAAGATCAGGGATCAGCAAACTTCTTCTGTGAATGGCTAGATGATAAATATTGTAGGCTTTGCAGGCCTGTGGTCTTTGTCACCAACCTCAACTCTGGGATCGTACTTTAAAAACTGCCATAGACAGTATGTAAACGAATGGACATGGCTGTGTTCCAATAAAATTTTATTTACAAAAAAAGGCTGCAGGCCAAGCCCTAGACTTGACCACTAAGATTTCTTTGCTTGTAAGATTCTTTGATTCTTGATTGGAAGAGGAGCAAAACAAAATGGGAGAGTATATCTTAAAACCTCGTTCCCAAAGCTACCATAAGCATCAAAATTATTGGTTACTTGTACATTGTGGTGTCTAGAGTTGATGTTTTGTTTTCTGTATGATGATGGTTGGAGTTCTCAACTACCAAACATTTCATTATTGTTCTCAATCCCTCCATCTCAGGGTATGTCTTCACTAAACTATTTCTATTGCTATTTTAGTGACTGGTGCCAGTTTCTTTGTGTTCAGTGGCGCTCTGAAATCCTCTTCAGGATATCTTGCCAAGTCCAGTATTGTGGAAGGTAAAGAATGAGTTACTTACTTTGTGTGCATTAGTTCAATCCTAATTGTACAACTGAAAACTTAGGACATTAAAGGGAGCCTTGACACTGTTGCCGTTGACTTCTGACTCTTCTTATTCATTCAATAGTGTCTCACTCTTCAGCTAATTAAAACTGTCATAAGGATGCTTAGTTCTCCAAAGAGGGGAGTAAGTGGTAGAGATACCATGGGATAGTGACATAAAAATTAAGAGCTGGCTTTTCAGAGCTCTGGGATAAGGGACCTTAGGGATGTAGTCTGAGTTCAAATATATCACTGGGTGCAGATCTGTAAATATATGGATGAAGTTCAGTCCCTCTTACGCACAAGAATGCTGTAATCATTGTTTGGGGTACAGAATGGGATATGTTTCCTGCTGGTTCGTTATAATTAGACATGACACATATCCTGACAAAAGTTAATTAAATGAAAGTTAATGAAAGGCTAATGAGCATACTGTTTATTTTCTTTGTCAATTATTCTTCACTGTATTTGGATCTGGTTACTCTTGTTGCATAACAAATTAAGCCAGAACTTAATGGCTTAAGACAATTATTTTATCATGCTCACTGATTCCTCTGGTCTGCACTTGACAGGGCAATGCAGGGATGGCTTGACCCTGCTTAATGATGTCCAGGGCCTCAATTGGGATAACTTGAAGGCTGGCGGTTACTTGATGGCTGGGAGCTAGAATTATCTGAAGGTTTGTTCACTCACATGTCTGGGGCCTGCCCTAGGATGATTTAAAGACTAGGAGTAATGATTGGAGTACTTATACATTGGACTCCTTAGCATGGCAGCCTCGTTGGACTTCTCACATGGTGTCTCAGGAATCTAAGCATGCGTAGTCTTAGCAACAAGGCAGAAGCCACATTGCTTTTTGTGACCCAGACTTGAAAGTTGCACAGTGTCACTTCTACCATACCCTCGTGTTGGAAGTAGTCATAAGCCTGCCCAGATTCAAGGAGAGAGGAATTAGACTCCACTTGTTGATGGGGAAATGGGAGGGGGTAGCATTGTAGAAAAGCATGTGAGACAGGAGATATTGTCGTCTTCTTTGGAAAGTACAGTCTGCCACACATGACAGCAGGTTTTCATTTCCACAGTGGCTTACTGCAGGGCCCTGTCTGAAAGCAGTGCTTCCTGAGGGTGGATTCCAGAGTATTAATTGAAATGCACAGATAATCTTACACAAGTTAATAGCTATTGGGTTTGATCTCCTTTATTGGTAATCTTAAAACAGCAGTGAAGAATAAAGTATGCCAGTATTTTACAACTAAATTTCACAACTCTGATTACAAAACAGAAACATGTTATTAAGAAATCATTAAGAAATCTAGGCGATAACAGTCATTTGGTCTTAACTGACAGATTAATGCCTATGTGATCGAGTATGGACTACCTTTGAAATTGTCTTTACAAGATGATTTAAAAACACCCTTTAAATATTGTCAAAAATGATAAATTGACTGACACAGATCCTTATAAATGCTAGGCAATGTGTTTAAAAGTTATGTTTAGTCTTTGGGTTGGGAATTTCTTAGATCTTGCATTTCACTGTGTATGTCAGTAGAGCAATTGGCAGCCTATTTATGAAATCTTCATTGAAACTCTTTAGAAATTATTTCAACTGACAAAATTTTGTGTCAGTGAAGCAGGGTAATTGCTCAGCATGTGACAACTTTCACCTTCAGTTTCAGTGTGTGCCTTTGACTCAGGTAGGTAGCAGCCCAGAAACAGTTACCATCTGTAGCCCATGTGAAACCCATATGGTAGGTTTGCCTTATTGCTAGTTAGTAAATAGATTTATCGCCTATCCCACTACTGTTGTTTATTCAGTGATTTATTTAACAAACATTTTCTGGGCATTCACTGTATGCCAGGCAATCTTAGTAAGGTGAGAGAGACTGAGATGCAAACAAATACACATGATTAGAGCATGCTAAATGCAAGAGTGGAAAGAGGAACAAAATGCTGTGTGAGTCCAAAAGAGGGATGTTACCATGTGTAAGTTTTCCCTTTGAGAAGTCTCAGGAAAAACTTTTAGTTGTGTCTGAAGTCAAGTCAACAAGCAGGTGTTTTAAGCAGAACCCATCTTGCATTTGCCCCTCATAGCACTTTCAATAAGTAAGAGGTTCAGCTCAGAGAACAAAACCTCTTTGTCAGCTGTAGAGAGCTGAGCAGAGTTTTACATTTAATCTTAGAGGGAGTTGCCTGATGCCAGGTACCATGTTTCATCTGCCCCTCTCCCTGGCTTGGTGTTTCTATCTTTACTGTCTTGGTGCTGATTCCCAGATGGAGTTATGGTCCAGATCACGGCAGAGAACATGGATGCCTTAAGACAGGCACTGCGGGAGATGAAGGACTTCACCATCACCTGTGGCAAGGCAGATGCCGAGGATCCCCAGGAGCACATCCACATCCAGTGGGTGGATGACGACAAGAATGTCAACAAGGGGTAAATGCAGTGAACTTCCCCTTTGTGGCTTTTAGTTATGGGGCTAGGCTCTGGGTTTTGTCTACACTGGTGTTTTATAACTGAAAGCCCTGCCTAAGAAAAATATGTTATGTATATGTTGTATACATAACACAGAATTTTAAGTTTCTGGTTTCTTGGCTTAATTAATTTATTTTTTGTAAAGATTGGCACCTGAGCTAACATCTGTTGCCAGTCGTTTTCTTCTTCTTCTTCTCCTCCTCCTCCCCAAAGTCCCCCAGTACATAGTTGTATGTTCTGGTTGTGCTATGTGGGGCGCTGCCCCAGCGTGGCCTGATTAGCGGTGCCATGTCCACACCCAGGATCTGAACTAGTGAAACCCTGGGCCGCCAAAGCGGAGTGCACGAACTTAACCACTCAGCCACGGGTCCGGCCCCTCTTGGCTTAATTTATGAAGGAGTTTCTGTGCATATTTTTGAAGGGAGGAGGAGGGAAGGAGTTGATGAAACAAAACAATCCTAAAGTTACTGCAATAATAGTAATAATACCTAAGCCTTTTATCATTTTCAAAGCACTTTTGCTAATATTATTTCATTTGATATAATAACTAGTGTTGTTATTCCCATATACAGATGAGGAGTGAACAAGCACCAAAAAGGCAAAATGACTCCTCAAGGCTAGGAAATGGCAGGGCTAGGACTTAAAACCACCTCCTTGGGCTTCAAATCCTATACTCTTGCCCAGTATATGGCGGCTGTATTCTGATGATTCAAGCCAAAACTTGGAATCATCTTTGACACTTTTCTTTCTCTCACACATACACCTAATCCAACAGTAAATCCTGTTAGCTTTTCTTCAAAATATAACCGGAATCGTGCTACTACTCACTGCTTCTACTGCCACCCTCCTTTGGTGTGGATTATTGCAGTAGCCTCCTAATTGGGTACTTTGTTTCTGGTCTTGGCCTCCTCCCTCCCCCCAACCTAATCTGTTTCCAGTGCAGCAGCCAGAGTAATGTCATTCTCTGTTCAAAACCCCTAACTGGCTTCCACTATCATTCAGGGTAAAAGCCAAAGTCTTTTATGACCCATAAGGCCTTACACAATCTCTGTGTCTCTCCGCCTACCGTCTTATTTCTCAGAAGCCACGCTTGCCTTCTTGTTTGAACGCATCAGCTATACGTCTGTCCTCAGGCCTTGCCACTTGCTGTTCTCTCAGCTTATACCCTGCCCCTAGATAGCCAAATGAGTCACCCCCTCACTGCCTTCAAGTTTTTTCTAAATGTCACTTTCTTAGTAAGATCTTCCCTGGCCAACCTATCTAAATTATAACCCTCTCATGCACATTGCTTCCGTCCCACCTCCAATACTTCCTGCATTACATTTCTCAAGAGCACTTATACTTCTCTAACATACAATATAGTTTTACTTACTTATTTGATTCTGTTGCCCCTGGGATGTAAGCTCCATGAGGGCGGGGCTTTTGTCTGGTTTATTTACATCTGTATCACCAGCACCTAAAATATTGCCTGGCACCTAGTAGGTGCTTTAAAAAATTGATTGATTGAAGGAATATATCATACTTCATTGTAGTAAGCTTTCTCCCATCCATCCATTCATCTTCAGGCAATCATTCTACATGCAGGGCTCTGGAAATACAAAAAATGAATTCCACACAGTCCCTGCTAACAAGTGGCTCACTCTGGTTTTGAAGATAGTTATAAATAAGTGCACCAAAGTATGGAAGATGCTCATAGAAAACTCATTAGGATACACTGAAGATAAAAAGGAAAGCAGGAACTGGGTAGAGGTGGTAGGGCAGTGGTCAAGAACAACTCATAGAGAAACGGCTGCTGCTTGAGCTGAATCTGGTGAGATGAGTATTTGCCACGTAGTTGTGGCAGAGCCAGCACTGCAGTCTGAGGGAGTAGCAGGAGCAAAGGCAGATGGAGGACATTTACAACCCGGCACACCGGATTTAAGAAAAACAAAGATTTTAAAACTTTTGCTATTGAACAAGAAGAAGCAATTTCTATATCAATGAGTGCATTTGCTTATTACAAATAATCCTTTATCTTCTCATACTTCACAGGAAAATTTAATTTCAAAATCAATTTGTGTTTAATTCTCTGTTATAGCTGCAAGTGAAAATGGTTATTAGGACCAAAAAATTGGTAATCTGATACCGTAAGGTATCGGTAGCAGCAAGCAGGTTGCCCCTTCCTACAACGGGTGCCAGAGACAGCATCTTAGAAGAGAGGACAAGACCCCTCAGGGCAGACTCTTGAACTCAGGAGTTTAGTCTGTAGTGTATAAATTGAATGTTTTCCAGCCGGTCCTGCATCGTCTGGGTATCCTCTCTCAAAAGAGTGCTAATCGACTGAGGCTGCCTTTTTTTGACATTGTTGTTTGATGAGTTAGAAATTAAACTTAACATTGTTTAAATAATTTTAATTCAAGCAAATGAAATGAATCCCTGATACTGAAGTTAAAGTTAAATTTGATATTTTATACCTAGAGATTCAAAAACATAAACAAGTGTGAAAACTTAGGAAGAGTTTGCAAACTCTGTGACAACTAATTTGAATCCTCGTCAGAATGAGTGTGTATCTTCACATATTTATACTTGCTATATTTTGGAGAGAAAAGGATTATAACAAGTGGCCATTCTATTTAGGAATCTAGGAATGATAATTTAGCACTGAAGGGAATTCGTTGTGATAGATAATATAGATACTCGTTCACCAGTTCACACCAGCACTGTCATAATTAACGTACTTGATCAAATAATTCTTTTAATCAACAAACATTAAGCTCTGTGTTCCAAGCAGTGTGTCAGAACTGGGAATATAGCACACAGAGGTGAGTATATTATATTCCCTTCCCTTTACAAGTTTATTTGTAAGGCAGATTCACAAACATATGAAGAATACAACATGGTGAGTGTTACTACAGTCGGGAGCAGAGTGCTGTGACAGCAGAGGGGAGAGGGAGAGTGGGTGGGTGGCCCTGTGTTCATTGAAGGAAGGCTGGAAGAAGAGAGCAAGTTTGAGTAAACAGTTTCTTTATGTTAAAAGAACCAGCTCCTGGAATCATGACTCCTTTTCTGTGTGTGTTCTTCGAATTGTTTCAGTGCATCAGCCCTTCCCGTGCTCTGTTCACGTACATTTTTGTGCAGTGGCTTATTGTTGCTGTGATGTGTTGCACAGATATGTTCAGCAAGGCACCTAATGTAATTAGTAGCAAGACTTGAGAAGGGGTTCTCCTAACTTCAAGAGCTGCTTCCATCTCTTTCCTTTGCCTCTGTTTTAGTGTCGTAAGTCCTATAGATGGGAAGTCCATGGAATCTATAACAAGCGTGAAGATATTCCATGGATCAGAGTATAAAGCAAATGGAAAAGTCATCAGATGGACAGAGGTAAGCAAATGAAACTTGGCATTCTTGACCCCTTTTGAGCACAATTTTTTGCTAGGCCCAGAGACACATTCTGGGCTGATTCTGGAGGATGAGAAAAAAAAATATCTCTGTTTACCTTCTATACACCAGTTCCCTCTGGTCTATCTTAGCTCACTGGGAGAAAAGCCACCAACTGCAGCCTGCAGCAGTGTGACGTCTCCTCCTTCCTATGCACTAGCTTTTAGAGATTTGTTTGTATTGGAATTCAAGAAGGTGCATCTCTGAGTGGTACATACCATCTTTGCTGTTTTCTTCAGAAAGCTGGGCTAGTTATGCTGCACTCACAGATAAAACTATCTTAGATAACACGGTCTTTAAAAAATAAACTTATTTCACCAAGAAGAAAACTAAAAAGAGACTAAGTAACTTGTCCAAGATTACAGGGTAAATAAGTAATGGCAAAGTCCTGACTCAAACCCAGATCTGGCCAACGCCTAAGCTGTTTCCAGACTATTGTTCCTTAATTTGAAAGCCGTATTAGAGGCTTACGTGGAACTGAGAGGAGCGAGCAGGGACACCCTGTGTACATATCATACAAATCAGAAAATTTATTCTCTGAGAATAAACAGGTAGGTCCTGGGTCTCAATTTCTTGTCAACCTCATTTATACTCATCTGTAAAATAAAGCATTAAATTATAAAATCTCTAGGATTCCTTTTAGCTTTAAAAGTCCTAATTTTTTTCTGTTTTTTAAAATTTTATTGAGGTCATAATAGTTTATAACATTGTGAAATTTCAGTTGTACATTATTATTTGTCAGTCACCATACATATGTGCCCCTTTACCCCTTATGAACCCACCCCAACCCCCTCACCCTCTGGTAACCACTAATCTGTTCTCTTTGTCCCTGGTGTTTTTCTTCCACATATGAGTGAAATTATACAGTTTGTCTTTCTCTGTCTGGCTTATTTCACTTAACATAATACCCTCAAGGTCCATCCGTGTTGTTGCAAATGGGATGATTTTGTCTTTTTTTATGGCTGAGTAGTATTCCATTGTATATGTATGCCACATCTAAAAGTCTTAATTTTTAAAAAAGTACTGTGACGTCTAGCTTTTCCATTTTATGCACAAGGTAACTGAGGCCATGAGAGGTTAAGTGCCTTGCCTAAGTTCACATGACTGGTTCCTGATAGCAAGAGACCAGAACCTGGTTCTCCAGTTCTCGAGCTCTTGCTCCAAGGAACTTATCTTTCATACCAGGCTTGGTGTTTTCATATGCAACTCAGTGTTTTTAGCTGCTTGCTTTGTAATGATTATCCCTTTGACACATTTTGAGTAATGCAGGGTCTGGAACATATAAAACGGTTTATCGCTTACAAAATAGTTTGACCTCCATTCCCTCAAAAGTAGGGAGGCAACCCATCTTATTTGCATAATGAGAAAACAGGCTCAGAGAGGCCCTGTGACTTTTCTGTTACTAGTTACTGGCAGAGCAGGGCCAGAGGTCTCCTGGCTCCCAGTCTAGAGCTCTTCCCATCATTTCGTGCTGCCGTTCTCACTAGTGCATCGGGCACAGGACTTCAGAGCTCCCCGCTTTGTAGTATTCTTAGTATAAGCCCCTTATTGAGCTGTAAGCTAGGAGTTGGTATCTATAAGCATTGTGTATTTGCATATCTCTTTTATATAATGCTTTTATATTATTTTCTCTTTACAATAACCAGAGAGGACAGGGGCTTTCCATTTTACAAAGGCAAATTGGGCATGAAGAAGTCAAAGGACTTGCTCCTGACCCTCCTCTATGTGACTAGGACTTGGGTCTCTCAGTTCCAAGTTTGCTGTGTTTCTGCCTGTGCCCAGTGCAGTGCTCAGCTTGGTGCCAGGACACTGACACAGCTCTGGCCTCAGCAGTGGCAGGGCCATGGATGGGAAAGCTCTGTCTGTGTGAGGAGCAGAAGACTTGGATCTGGGCTTGGCCCTGCATCTAAGTACTTCTAGCTCTTGAGTGAGTCACTTCTCTTCTCTGAGTAATCTGTAATACAAGGGGGTTGGGTCACATAATCTATAAGGGCCAAAATCTGAGACTCTAAGATCGTTTTCTAAGAAAATTGTTCACATATAAGGATTACCTCTTAGAAGTGCACAATGCAAAATGGAAGCCTTTTGGGGTTCTGAGTAAAACATACCATTATGACCATGGCCAAGAGCAGGGAGATAGGCGGGTCAGGTCTTCTTGCACATCTCAGAGGATGAGGGTGCTCATACACAGTGAGCTGATGCACTTGTTTCTTCCCATATCTCCTGAGCGCAAGGTTAAGTCTCTTTTGTGTGGGGAACAGGTGTTTTTCCTAGAAAGCGATGACCAGCACAATTGCCTGAGTGATCCTGCAGATCATAGCCGATTGACTGAGCACGTTGCCAAGGCTTTTTGCCTTGCTCTCTGTCCCCATCTGAAGCTTCTGAAGGAAGATGGAATGACTAAACTGGGACTACGTGTGACGCTTGACTCAGATCAGGTAAGAAGAGTCTCAGGTAGCCTTTGAAGCTGGCCTTGGGCAGTCTGTATTTTCTGACATGAGGTTTCCTGCATCAACCCAGAGAGCTTAATTCTCTGCACCTTCTGGCTTGACCAGATGTAAGTCACCTGGCCTTCCCTCTATTAGTAATACACCTGCATGTGTTGGTCAGAGTCTGAACCATCTGAACCTTGTCTTCCTCACCTGAATGTCTTCCAAGGACTGTCTGTAGTGTGGGGTAAGGAGGGGAAGTGTGTGTGAGGGACCTGCCAGCCCTGTGTGAACAGTATCAGTGCTACTCTTTGAGAACCGCCCAGTCCCACCCTTCAGGAATCATTCTGCCTCCCTCAGAGAGCAGGTCCTAAGCTGTCCCATGTCCTGTTTTTTCTTAATCCAACTACAGCAGGCTTCTGCTGACTGGGCTCTGCAGCTCCCACTCCTTAAGATTTTTCTTACTGTCAACGTTTCCATGCTGGTTGGTGGCTAAGACTTGAGCTATTTCTCCATTACTTTTCCTGTCAGCTCAGGTCTCCTATGGCCGGGCTTCCCTCCCTGTCTTAACTTTTTTGTATGCTGTTTGTAGTAACAATCCAGTCTTAGCACATGCCCCTTGCCCCAATTCCTTGTTCCATTGTCTCTCTCCTGTGGTTTAGCATTCTCATCTCTCTACATTTCTTTGGATTTTGGATCCTGTGACATATCTCAGTGCTCCTGCTTTGATGCAGAGTTGTGTCATTATCAGGAAAAATGTGAAAGGTTATATATCTGGCTCCATTTCCTGACTGGTCATCATCAAGTATATATTTTCTGTTTAAGGTCTTGCCCAATGCCGTAGTAAGCATATCAGGGTAATACAAGTGAGGTTTCATGGTCCTTTCTCGAATGGTACTGATAATCTGGCTGGAGAGAATTACCTCATATAAACAACTAAAGAACAAGCATTTTTCTGCTAAATGTTTGAGCCTTTTGAGGGCAGGGGCCCTGTTACATTCATCTTTGAATCCTTGTATTTGTACATGCTCATAAAATGGTGTGTGGATGGATGGAAGAACAGATGTTCAGTTCCTGCTATGTTAGGGAATTGTACCTAGTATGTTTCTCATTTTAATTTTCACAACCAAAGTTTCTTGTATTATCTCTGACATTCCATACCTCCCTACACCATGCCTCTCCCCCACTCCCCCCGACCCTTTCCTTTCCTGGGAAACTAGGGTCTTGCCCAAGGTCTCACAGCTACCAAGTGGTAGGGTCAGGATGAATAAAGGACAGGATGATAAATGACAATTAAGGGAAGAAAAGGAGAAATTTGTGTTCACTGCCATGTGTCTAGCCCATGGCCAAGAAGGACATCCCTTTCCTGCTCAGCCTCTTTGGCCCTGAGCCCCCTGGAGAGAGCTTTGTCCAGTAACCTGTCATTCCCTTCTCTCTGCGGTGTAGGTTGGCTATCAAGCAGGGAGCAATGGCCAGCCCCTTCCCTCGCAGTACATGAACGATCTGGACAGCGCTTTGGTGCCGGTGATCCATGGAGGGGCCTGCCAGCTCAATGAGGGCCCCATCGTCATGGAACTCATCTTTTATATTCTGGAAAACATTGCATAGACAGAGAGGACTTCATTTTTTTTCCTGTTCAGACCTGTTGCAACAGCAGTCATACCCAAATCATTTGCACTTTAGAACTGGAAGATTAAGCTTTTGTTAACACTATTAATGGTGATGGGGGGAGGGAGTGGGGGTTTGGGGGTCATGGGTGGGAAAGGGTGGTTGGGGGGACAGAGGTTCCATAATTCTAAGTCTTCTATGCATCGTCCACCAAGAAGATCTGGGCAGCTTCTGTTACTGCACAGCAGTTATGCTATCCTTGCAGCTAATCTCCTTCTGTTACTATTTAGACAAGAATCCTGCTCCTCTGTTTTAAGACTTACTTACGGTCTTGTGCTCGGAAATGCTCCAATGGGTACAACAATGACCAACGGTGGGTGGGAGGGCAGAGGGGAAATAAAAAATGAAGCATCAGTCTTGCACTCTTTGTACAGAATTGATATACTGATCTTGTCCCAGTTACACCACAGTGACTTCAGGTAGAAGTCACACAGAAATTTTTGTTTTTAGCACATTATTCATTGAAGTGAATCAAAGACCCAACAGACTGTCTCTCGTCTAGCCCAGGAAGGGCAGCTCGGTGTAAACGAGGTCACTTGGACCGCAGAGCTGAGTTCAGGATTGCTGGAGATGTGCCCCAGGGAGTGGCGGGTATTGAATAAGGGCTTTCTGGGAAAGCTGACAGGATACACCCAAGATGTTTTTAGTTATAATATACACTAGAGCTATTTTTAAAAACCTTTTACTGAGAAATAATTTAAATTTCCAGGAAAGTTGCAAGTACCAAAAAACCTATGCACGCCTTACCTAGATTCACCCATTTTTCAAGTATTAACATTTTGCCTCATGTGCTTCATCATTGTTTCTCTCTCTCCATAAAAACTGAGGCATTTGAAAGTAAGTCGCATGCATCATCGCCCTTTACCCCTAAATGCTTTAATGCTTATTTCCTAAAAATAAGGATATCCTCTTACCTAACTGCAAGACAGTTCTCAACTTGAGTCCATGTAGCATTGACCTGATACTTTAAGCTATCATCTGTCCAATGTCCTTCATAGCATTTTTCCCTCCAGTAAAGCTTCCAGCCTAGGATCAGACATGGCAAGTAGCTGTCCTCTTTCATCGATATTTTTAGTGAATTCCCTCACCCCATTTTTTAAGTAGAAAATGCCTCATTTTGAATTTGGTGTTTCCTGATAATTAGAATCAGTTTATGCATTCTTGGCCAGAAGCCTCCCTAAATGATGCTGTATCCTTTTTAGGGCATCTTATCTGGGGTCACTTGATAGCCATCTGTGCCCTTCATTAATTATGGTAAATTTTGATGACCTGGTCAAGGTCTTGTTCAGTTTTTTCACTGTATATTTTACCCCTTGGAATGAATAACCAATATGTGTAGAGACACTTTCAGATTATGCAGATATCTTGCTCATCAAAATTTCCCCTTGGATTTAGTGTCCACTGATGTTTCTTGTCTGAATTGATCTTTTCTATGATGGCTACAAAATGGTTTTCCAATTCCAGCACTGTAACTTAATTTTCATTATGAGCTTATAGAGTACTTTTTGAATGGTTGTAATTCATTATTTTGGTGCTCAAATGGTCTGATTTGGCCAGAGGAAGCCCCTTTAAGCTAGTTCCTACGTCCTGGTGACATGCTCCTATCATGTTATGGAAAACTTTCTTTTCTTGCCTGACAAGATGCTCCAGGATCATCTTGTGCTTACCCTGCCCCAGCCACGGAGTCAGCCATTTCTCCAAGGAGCCCTGGTTTCTTTTAGTGAGAGTGGTATGAGGAACCAAGATTTGGTTTACATATATGTGATGCATTCTGATCATTTTCTCTTTTAGTAAAAACTTATTTTGGTCTCAGACCAAATGGATGTCATAACCCAGTCTGAAAAACACTGCTCTTAGGTCAACTCCCTCCCTTGTGAGTGGCATCTTCTGAAAGCCCAGGCCAAGCAGGCGTCCCTCTGCAGGAAAAGGACAGTTCCAAGAATCCCCTGGAAGCTAATGCAGGCCTCAGTGGCCAGAGGTGGGCTTAGCGCTTGGCATGTACAGGCTGTGGAACTGTTGAGGGCAATAGGGCAGCAGCTGTTTTCCAGAGGCCCAAAAGCCTGGCCGTTGAAGCGTGGCTAGCTAGGTGTATCCGTCTTCGGGATGGGTGGGGTATCCACATTCTACAGCTGCCGCTCCATAGGCTTTGCTGATGGTGCTTACAGAAAACTGTGACTGACCTTCTCATAGACTCAGAGGTACTCGGGGCCTCTGAGGGAAAACAAGAGTACATGCCCATAGAACACCAGCTTGTAAGGACTGAGCCCTGGGACTGCCACCCCCTAAACCCAACAGGAAAGGTATTTGGGGTGTAACATCCAGCTTGGTGTAAATATACCTCGGAAGTTTGGACTTGGTTCCATTTTCCTATAGAAGTTTGTCTTTCTTCTCACTCAGCTAAATAATCTTGCAACTGTACGTACTTCTGGATCAGTGCAAGCTTTTTAATTCTCCCACTAAGGACAAACTCTGGCCCCTACAGAGTCAGGTCCATTCTCAATTGTGTAAAATGTCCTTTATGTTTAGTAAAATCTTCTTGTGGAATTAGGCATAAAATACCCAAGGCTAGTTTACTTTTTTCCTTCTTTAACTTTGTTTTTATGCACCATATATTGTAAGAATTATATATAGCGGAGAGCTGAAACATCACATTTCTAAGTCAGTCAAAATTTTCTAGAATGTAAACGTAAAATATAGAGACTTAGATATGAGATCCTTATAAACTAAAGAGGAATAGAATTGCCATTCTGGTAACTTATTAAATTTTTTTAAATTCTTGAATTCTTACCAAATGCTAGGCAATACAGTTTCCCTTTTTTTTTTTTTTTTTTTTTTTAAGATTTCTTTTCCTTTTTCTCTCCAAATACCCCCAGTACATAGTTTTGTATTTTTAGTTGTGGGTCCTTCTAGTTGTGGGATGCCACCTCAGCATGGCCTGATGAGCAGTGCCATGTCCGCGCCTAGGATTCGAACCAGCAAAACCCTGGGCCGCCAAAGCGGAGCACGCCAACTCAACCACTGGGCCACGGGGCCAGCCCCTCATTTATTTTTGTCAGCACCTTCTGAGCACCTACTAGACTCCAGGGCTATAGAAAATGGGACTCTGCCCTGTGTTACATTCCCATCTAGTGTCTTTCCTCATTCAGTGGTTCCTGAATGCAGGTGGGCCCAAAATTTACAACTGAATTTACTTCTATCATAACTAGTCATCTCAGGAATAATTTATACACTTAATGCATTTCAGACAATAATCAAGCAATCCGCTTGTTATATAGAAACATGTGATGTGATGGAGTTGGACCCCCACAAGCTCCCTGGCTCTACCAGTTTCATCCTTTTTGGGGGGGGGGGTGCAGTGGGGGGAGGAAGATCAGCCCTGGGCTAACATTTGCTGCCAATCTTCCTCTTTTTGCTGAGGAAGACTGACCATGAGCTAACATCCATGCCCATCTGCCTCTACTTTATATGTGGGACGCCTGCCACAGCCATGGCTTGATGAGCGGTACCATGTCCGCACCTGGGATCCAAACTGGCAGACCCCAGGCTGCCGAAGCAGAATGTGCGAACTTAACCGCTTCGCCCCAGGCTGCCCCTACCAGTTTCATCCTAAAAGGAGCTGCCTTTACTTATGGGGGAAGATCTTTTAGGAGCTGCCCAGAAATATTTGGAAAACAAGCTCTCAAAATTTGGAAGCAACAATACAGGCTTCAGAATGGTACTATAAGAAAGAAAAATAATGTTAAAGTCACAAAATAGTTTGCCCTTTAATTATAAGCAGGACTTGCTGATAAGTTTCTTCCTATTTTATTCAGTTCACTAATTCAGAAGAATGTGTGCCTTGCACCAGATCAAAGAGAGTATTTAAAATTTAAAAATTATCTGGGTGAGGGCTGGGTCCCAGCTGCCCACGCATCCCTAATCTCCGATGTGTGATTGCAGCATCTGGACAAATCTTAGGACAAGATGAGGCTGGGCAGGATCCTCCCCCTAGCAGTGACCCCCGTGTGCCTTGACTACAACAGAGGCCTTTTAAGAACCTCAGTCGCCAAGTCCAGTAGGTGGCTTTGTCTTGCTTCCCTCTGCCTGGAGGTTGTTTTCCAAAAAGCAAAGAGCAATGAAGCAGACAAATCTGTGAGCCATGGAAAACTTCCTATCAAACTGGAATAGGGCATTTCCAGCAGAGGCCTGAGTTTAGGAATTCCTAGGGCTGGCTGGAACATTCAAGAACAGCTGTCCTTCTAGCCCTCTTAGTAAGCAGCGGATTGGGTACAAACCCTGAGGGGAAGACTAGGTTGGGTCAGGAAACCTCCTGGCCACCCCTTTGTTCTAGGCCACCTTATGGAGGCTTACGACCCTCCTTTTCATTCTAGAGTACTGCTTGACACACAGGTGTGACTGCAATTAAGTGTTTAGTCTCCCACCTGGAGAAATTTTGGTAGTTCACTCTGAGAGGTAAGACTGGTCAGAAAGCGCTTGGAAAAAAGTCATTTGCCTGGCATTCCTGCTCTTACCCACTAAAAGCTCTCTCTCGAGGGCAGGAAAGCATGGTCCAGCCCTATCCCAGAAACAGACACACACGAAAGCTCAACCCTGACCTGTGCTTATGCAATACGAGAGAGATAAGGAAGCTGAATGTATTTGCTTCACTTAGAGGCTTTAAAAAATGATCTTGAGGAATGCTGTGTTGAACTGAAGTTAATGCTTCAAAAAAGGAGAAAAAAAAAAGATGGGATGTTAAAGTTTATTTCTAAGAAATGTAGAATATTGCTGTTTTTGAATATTAAATCTATTGTAACCACAAATCCCTCCTATGTCTCCATTCAGAATAACAAAGCCAAGGAGAATTTCTTGGGAAAGAACTGGGGGATTTCCCTGGGTGAACCCCTGAAGAGGCGATGCTTCCCCTGCCCTCTCTCAGAAGAGGAAGCCATAGCTGCAGT